AGATTAGTGGAAGGTTAGTTTGCTCACTGTGCGTTTATATATATATCTGGGTGGCTAATAATAACCTGTATTATACTATACCTGAAACCTGCGTTTCCCTGTGTCAGTCCACACCTTTCTGGTCACTCCTTGATTCCTGACAGCTTAGGGTAACAATGCTGCTCCTTCATAGAAACAGTGTAGTTATCTTAGAACAGGAAATGTGTTTTTGGCGGGATAACCAGGTAAAAAAAAAGGATAAAAAAAGCCTTAAAAAACTAGACTAAGAAAGCAACCACATCTGGTAAGCTGCAATATCAGTGGCATAACTGAAACCTTCAGGGCCCCAGGGGAAGAAACCATGAAGGGCCCCTAGGGCCCTTCTCCTCAGGGCCAGGGGGCAGAACGCTAGGGCCCGGTTGCAAGTGCGACCTTTGTGACCCTGGTAGTTCTGCCACTGGTGTCAGTATTTTTTTGTTTTTATTCTTTTCAGTATTTTTTAATTTTTTACTATTTTTTTTTTTAAATTATTAAAAAAAATTTTAGGAGCCACATTGGGGGGCTTTGGTGAGATATCAGGGGTCCAAACAAACCTCTGATGTTCCACCTTTGAGACAGAGAAAAGAGATTGAGGACAGCATCAGCATCTTCAGCATCAGCTGTACTGAATGAATGGACATAGCTTCCTGATTATTTACAAAATGAAACATAGTAAACAGAGTTTACTATGTTTTTCAGTTATGAATGGACAGAGTCAGTGATCAGTACTGGTCAATTCAGTAAATGAATGGGCCAGTAAATTACATTTTTATCAGCCCCTTCCCTACTCTCCATCCTGACACATCCCCCTCAGAAGCTGGTGGTAGAGGGGAGGGGGGAGCCGGTGAGAGCTGAGAGGGGGGGGGGGGCAGGAGAGACCTTGGGAAGAGCTCAGGGGGGCTGGAGAGCACACACAGGGGGCAACAGAAAAATGCTGGATAGGTAGCACAGCGTGGGGCAGCTGTGTGTAGAGAAGCCAATTTCTCCATGTTCCTCCTGCAGCCCCTGAATGCTGGTTTTTTCCTCCTCCTCTCCCTCCCGCAGGGATTCAGCAGCTGCAGGAGGATAATGGAGAGATTGGTTGATTTGTATGCAGCCGCCCACTCTGCTCCTCGTATTGTTGAGGTATAAGTTTAAGATTTTATTTTTTTTATTTTTTTTTGTGTATATTTTTTTTATATATACCTTTTCTGTATGTGTTTTTTGACATCATTATTATTATTATTATTATACGTATTGCCATTTTTATGAGTATTCTCATGTGTATTGTTCTGCTCATCTACAGTATCACCACCTGTTATACCATTTTGAATATTCATGATTCAAGTAATATTTTGAGGGGAATTTTGTATTTGTTTTTTTGATCAGCTCTGATGAAGAAGGGAGCACCCTTCGAATCGCGTTAGATTTTTTATCCCCCCCTTTGGATTTACCTGTAACCCTGTGTGGATATGGTTTACTTATGCCTGTTTTACCGTCACCTTTGTGAGTATATTTCCTAAATTAAATAAAATTAGTCACTATTTATTGAGGTAATGCGCAAGGTTTTTTGCGCTCTTTCTTTCATCCTCTTCTACAGTTTTATCAAGCTTCCCCAGCTTCATGATAGAGCTGCACAACCTCTGATCACCAGCAGATAAACACTCTGTTTGTTACTAATGCCCGTTTGATCTGAGTCTTTGAGCACAGGAGATAATGGATCTTTGGTGACAGTTTAAGATTTAGGTTCAGGGTAAGATGTCCTAGAGGAGGTAAGGTTTTATAGGTTAATTAAGGGTTAAACCAGCTAAATTAGTATAAACCAGGATTCAGATAATAGAATAACTGTGATCATAATAGGATTTATTAACTAGAGTAGGTTATGCATCAAATAAATGCCAAGATGACAATAATACTCACTGAGCTGGAAGTAGTAGTAATACCCTACTTTAATTTTGCTAGCCACCAAGGTAACTAAATCAAACATCCACACAATCAATTTTTTAGTAAGAAACTAAAATAAAAAAACCTTACAGGATTTGAAAAGTGTCCAAAAACAATCATGCAATTTCTAATTTTCCAATTAAAAATGATAGCATGCTCTCATTGCTCATGTAACATCTGCTGCACCAAGATGGGACTGAAATTCCCTGCCATAGCTGACACATAACAATCATTTTGAGAACAGGATAATATCACACGCCTGCAGGATCCCCATGTCTATGGATGGTCAAAGTTTTTACTTTTCACTCATTTCTTTTTTTTTTTTTGGGGGGGGGGGTTCTCCAGTAACAAAGTTACTACTGTCTCTTGCTCTTAGCGTTCAATGACTCACTTCATTAACATTTAATTCCTTTCCTAGAGCCTTTGTTTTGACCTATGAAGAAACAATCTTTGCCAATAAACTGGCAGGCATGAGTGTCTATAACACATATGGGTGGCTTTATTACATTAGCCACATTTCATGAACACCTTCAAGGAATTTGGCTGCTTTAGAAGAATGCATCTGTTTCAAGAAAGATTGAGTAACAGACTCACTATATCAACAATGGCAAATAAAACTTGGAGTGAAAAAGGTATAGAACAGTAAATAATCTCATGAAACTGTTAATATCTTGTACTATATCACCACCACCAAATGTTGTGTATTTTGTTTTGTATTAAAGTACAAACTCTGCACCCATTATAACAAATACAAAAACTTTTGACTGGATAAAAAATATTATTATTGTTATTAATAATAATAATAATAATATTCACTGGATAGTCAACTGGTCAGCAAATTATGACACACAAGGCAGGAAATCACGTTCAGGTCTGACCAGGATGGCTTTGATCATTAACATCAAAGGACTACAAGATTGACATTGAAACAGCTAATTTCATTTTAGGGCAGATCTATAATTACAATACAAGTCATCTGTATAACAATTGACAATGGTTTGCTTAAAGTAGGATATCCTTCTCATATTACAAACACAGCCTTCATTAGGCCGGCTAAATAGTATCATTTACAGATGTACTGTAAATGATACTATTAATGTATGTTAATTATTTTAAAAGTGGTGTATCTTTGTATGATTATAATTGTTTATGTACATAGATTTTCCATATTTATGTATTACACATGGAGGCTTTGCTTCCCTCTTGATAGTGGGAATAGTTGAAAGTAGTTGTGTTCCTTGTCACAATGCAAGCCTAAAGCTGGCCATACATTGACAGGTATTTTTTTTTCTTTATCAATCTACAGGTACAGTATACAGAGTGGATAAATGAATTTCCCTCTGTGCATATTGTATTTTGACAACATACCCAAACAGCAGCTGTTTCTGATTGGTTTAAGTCATCTTTCGGCTGACAATTTTCATCTTGACTTTTTCAATTTCTCTAACCAGAGGATGAAGGATGAGGGGCAGCCACACACTAAGCCATGGGTGCTCAACCTGTGGCCCTCCAGCTGTCACAGAACTACAACTTCCATCATGCCTTTTTAAAGTCATGCTTGTAACTGTCAGCCTTGCAATGCCTCATGGGACTTGTAGTTCTGCAACAGCTGGAGGGCCACAGGTTATGCACCCATGCACTATGCGGATTTCCTCAAGAACTGGCTGAGAGCAGAAGGAGCCATTGAAATCCTATGATGAGGGAGCAGGCAGTGCAGCTCCGGATCAAGCACACATGCAAGCTGCTTCCTATTGTGGCACACCATGAAGAGAAGGAGAACCGCAGGGGACCCGAGAAGAGGAGGTTAGGGGCTGTTCTGTGCAATTTCATTGCACAAACAGGTAAGAATAAACCTGCTTGTTATAAATTAAAAAAAATAATAATAATAATTTTAGACCTTGCAATAACTTTAAGCAGGAAGCCTGGATCAATGCAGAACTCTCCCTAGGGGTTGAACATTAAATCTCAGTATTTAAAGTAGAACTGAAAATCTCACATAAGATTTGTAGAGCATTGTAAGTAAAACAGGACCACATTTTTGGCAATTAAAACAATACAGTTTCCCCATTTCTTTGTTCAAGAATAATTTCTCTGTACAATAATCAACAGGTAGATTATTTGCATGAACTTCCTGTAGAGGTGTGCGTGCTCCAGTGCTGACTGAACTATGCAGTTTTACTGTAGTGACTACAGCAAACATGCTAATACACTGAGCTTTGGCATGGCTGCTTATAGTCCAACATGGGAGCATGCAAGACAGAGTTATTGAGTTAGTGTTGTCACCCTGGAGAGGAAGTACCTGTGGATACACCTTGCTGAAAAGATCACTTGGTATGATTTAATGAAAAGCAGGAAATGTTAAAAAAAAACGACTAAACCTATTGACATTACATTAACATGTGCAACAATATATTTTGGTTTAAATTGATATTAATTTAATGCTGTTGGCTAAATGAGCTGCTAATAACAGAACTTACATGCTTTTGTTTTTATAATTGTTCTCCTCTACGTTTTCTCCTCATACTGCCCCTCTCGGCCATGTTGCCTGACTCCAAGTATATGGGTGTCCCCTGCCGAACACACAGGCAGAGCGAGAGGGAAACACAACCAAAGCCATGCCTCTCATCCTCCTTCACAGTGGTGATTGAAAATTGTTCCTGAACCAGCATGGCTTTGACTCTGTGTCCCTCTCTGGAACTGCTGCAACATAACATTGTAATTCGAAATGGGAGCGCACAAGTAGTCGAAAATCCAGTTAGACTCCATAGGTCCTGGCAGACACAGGGGGCACCCATATACCTAGAGTCAAGCAGTGTGGCTAGGGGGCAGTTTGAAGTGGAAGATCAGAGGTGAAAAATTATAAAAACAGCAACAGCATGTAAGTACTGCAATTAGCAGCTCATTTAGCCAAAAATAAAGTCGACTGTAATATCACTTTAGGTGATTAGGTTTGAAAACACTTCAATCAGATTAAAATCATAAATGTGAAAATCATATAAAAATGAATTCAAAGTAACAAATAAAAATAAATAATATGCGCTCACTGAAAATATACTGTACTACCTCTTTAGGACATGTACAGAACTATATATAGCACCTGATTCCATGTCTGTTCTGATCTGCTCCTCCAGGTCTTCCGGGGACACATAGTACTCATAATCTTCTCCAGCTGATGGTTTTGGTTTACATTTTCCAAAACAACAATTACAGCAACAGCAAAGGCAGCAGCAGAAGTAGCAACCGGTCAGAAGTCCACAGATCGCAAACAAGCCCTAGACAGAATGAGCAAATTACAAAATGCGATCAGGGAACATTGTACGCAAAATTAATGCATCTACTGTATTTTGTTAAAATGTCAGCCGGTGTGGTTGAATTTACATGGGTGTCATTGAAGAGGTTACTCAAAAAAGTACCCTTTTTAGACCTTGTTCACATCAGTGTACAGAGACGTGAGTTTTTCTGCACACGTTCTGCAAGGGCACAAAGAAAACAATTGTTCTCCATTTGCCCTGTTCACATCACAACATTGGTATCATGCGCAGATTTTTACTTCGCAGGAATCTGCAACATGTATAAAACTCACTAAACCTGCATACATTTTCCATCAGTTTTTTCTGCACGCACGGTGTGAACAAGGCCTTAAAGTATGCAAGGAATTCATTCCACACAAGATAAGGAAGATGGAAAAATTTTAATACATGTTTGGTGACATGTGGGATACACCAAGACCCTGTCCAGCAGAGGTGAAGTCAAGTCAAAATCACCTAAAGATGGAAGGAAAGGGCATAGCAGCTGAATTGGAGATAAAAACTTCCTGGCTTTTATATATATATATATATATATATATATACAGTATATATATATACAGTATATATATTTAATTTAGATGGAGTAGGGAATGATTAAAACATCTCTCAGGTTTATTGCCACTGGATTGGGGAGATCTTCCTTGACTTCCTGTTCTGCAGACACATCAGGACACATATTGTCTCTCACACTGCCACTGACCCAACCAATGCAGAGGGGAAATTGATAGCCATACCACTGATGATCAGTATGAGATAGGGGGTGAAATCTTTGCCACTGACCACCACTGAAGGGGGTTTAAAATAGCACTGCCAATTAAACCAGGCCTGGTGGTTATTATTGCAGCCACTAACACAAATTTCTGTGAATAATTAATACGGTCACTGAAACCTATAATAAAACTTATTTTACTGCCTCTTTCTATTCGGTATACATTTTACTTTCTCATTGAATGAAATGGGAGCCTCCTTAAGCCTGTTTGAATCTTGGGTTTCAGGAAAGAAAATCACTTAATTCCCCTATCAACACTCTCAGTGTTGATTGGGGAATCCCTCCCATGGAGCCATTGTATTCTCCCAGGGGGTACATTCAGCTTGGGTACATTCAGCCAGCCCATTCATAGTTCGAATCTAAGCTGATCCCTGCTGAACTGCCCAAGATTTGAACCATCTATGGCCAGTTTGACTCTTGTTTCAGAGCATTCGTAATGTGCTTTGCCAGGGTGTCTATCATGGACTTTGTTGAGAGGAATAAAGGGATTCATGTATGTCCTTAAAAATCTCTGCTGAGTCTGCAGGTGAACAGGAGTCCATGCAGCTGGATGGCGAACCTTGTTCAAGCAAGTAAACAGACCACGAAGGTGAGCCTGGTCTAGGTGTAGCAGTATCTGCTGCTTCTCATAGGGGTCTGGCAGAGTCCAAGGACTGAACATAATTGGCAGCTTTGAACTGCTCCCTTGTCGGTTGAGGGGTTGCAACACAATATCACAAAGTGACCTTCATAATATCAAGTATTGTGTGTTTGCTGTCTCTTTTACTGAATGTAAGCCTGTAACCCATAGCTGCACCAGCATTATAACAAAAATGCATTGGGTCTTCAGGCACAAACTTCCAACAGAATAGGCTGGGCAGGCTAATGCTCCTCTATGTCAGCCCCTAATATAGGGTTCTCACCTTTTGGCTCATGAAAAACCATATCAAAAATAGAAGTGGCTTTTCTAAAGCAGGAATGGCTAAAGAGGTGTGCTTTATTCAAAATGAGCACATGTGCATCGCAAAACAGAGTTTTAAAAATTAAGTTTTCTTAGACATCATTATAAACAAAGAAACAACATTTTACAAATAACTGATAAAAAAACTACGTTAAGCAGAGAGGGGTGGCAATGTGTTAATTAGTTAAAGTGCAAGTAAATACTAACTAAGCCTAAATGTACTCCCACTCCCATTCTAACTACTCTGCAATGGCAAGAAGCCTATACTTACCTATGCTAAGGGCGATCTGGTCCAGTCACATGATCTCTCCACCCGCTGGCTTCAGTGAAGGAGAGATTGCTGAAAATAGATGCAAAGCCTGGGCGATGATGTCATATATAGGCTTCCTATGTGGCATCTGTTGTCAGTTGTCCTTCCTCTACACTGAAACCAGCACGGGGTTTAGGACTCCTTTCACAGGGTAGATAGAATAGGCTTGGAATGGGGATGGGTGTAGGTTTGGGCTTCATTTGAGTGGAATTCCACTTTAAAGTCAAACAAATGTTCGTGTTTTTTTTTTCTTTTACACTTTTTAGGTTTGCTGGAACAAACAATATGTGAATATCAAAGAACAAAATGACTGATAAACACTGAACGGTTTATTGTACCAGTTGTAACATTGCATTTATGAACGAAACATGCAATGTCTGCATGCTCCACTCACTTAGAACTTCCAGTGTTACATGCTGTATTTATTTTTAGGATAGTAAAATGTTTGCTAAATATATAAAGGTAAAAACTGCAGTATTTATAACTGTTTACCTTTGCCCACCAACTAGATAACATGAAATATGCATTGACATTCTCTTCTCCAAACTGCTCTGCAACATACAATCCCAGGGATCCATACTTGTCATAGATATTCCTCTTCGATAAGTCATTCAGTATGGAATGAGCATTATTAATCTCCTTGAATGTTTCGGCAGCTTCAGGATTGTCTGGATTTTTGTCTGGATGATGCTTCAATGCCAGTTTCCTTTGATGATAAAGAATAACAATACAAGTTAAAGGGGCTATCTAATTTACCAGAAAATGTTTCCAATTAAAAAAAAAACAGAATCTTTGCACATTCTGAAGAACATAGTTCAGTAAGGATAAATATTCAAATAGTGGGGTATTTATTAAGCAGTAAATGTGACATTTACCAAATATTGAATGCAAGTAATTATTATAAATAAACATATTTAAAAAAATATAAAAAAAAAAACAGATGGCTACAAACATGGCATTTTTGCCTGTTTGCCATTAAGCTTTGACTGCAAGTAGCATTCAGTTTCTCATATTTGGACTGTTAATCAGGGAGTCAGTGCATTTACAGGAGGCTGCCTGACAATGTCTGTGCTTTCTTCTTTGGACCCCCCTTCCCCCTTTTTTTTATTATTTATTCTGGAGTACTTAAAGAGTATACAGTATTTCAGATTATAGACACTACAATCCATAATGCCAAAAATGGAAAAACTCAGCCATGACTGTGGAAAAAGTAAAGCCAGTGCTCATGCGCATGGAAAAAAAAAAATGTCTAGGAGGAAGTGGCACCAACACAGGCAGACTGGCATCAACAACATGTGTGGTGTTCTAATTTTCTCAGAAAGAAATAATTAGCTCCTCCCATGCTCGTCTCCAGGACTTCTCCAGGGCTTTTCCCCATCCTCTGGAATTCCCTACCCCAATCCATCAGACTATCACCTACTCTGCTCACCTTTAGGAGCACTCTGAAAACCTATCTCTTCAGGAAAGCCTACCCCGCCCTCTGCTAATTACTGAACTCCTCCACTCTTCCTACCACTCCATCCCCCACAGCTATTTCCTCCTGTACCACTATCCACTCCCTCCTAGATTGTAAGCTCCAAGGAGCAGGGCCCTCGAACCCCTTGTGTATTGAATTGTATTGTTACTGTATTGTCTCGTGTACTGTCTTCCATCATAATGTAAAAAAATGCAAACTGTCAGCGCTATATAAATCCTGTATAATAATAATTAGCTCACTTGCCAATTTTGAGGATCAGAAATTTACCTGGTAGAGCATGTTCTAGACCCAGTTCACAAGAACAATTGCCAAAGTGTATTATAAGTGATTCGCTCATCTGTAGAGTAAATGTCCTGCAAGTGATGGTGAACTGCAATGGGTTATGTAGGCACTTACTTTCCAATATATTCAGGGCCAGGACAAGGGGGGGCAAGGCCCTGGGTGCAGTGTAGGTGGAAGGCCAGCAATGTGCTGGTAAAAACTTACTGGACAAGTGTACACTGATGTACAAAGCCTCCCCACCACCGACCGCACTACAATACTTGCAGGCAGACCCACAGAGCTGAAACGCTGTGCCCAGTGCACTCCTGAACCCAGCACAAGCCTAGGACTCTCCACCCAACAGGCCCTTCTTAGTCCCAGCTCGGCGTGGCATCATTGAGAGCCCGGGAAAGCGGGATGAGGAACAGGAGTGCTTCCGCCGGTGCTGTGAGTGTGACCTAGAGGAACCACTGTGCTGAAAGTAAGCTGACGGGCATCCGCATCTGCAGATGAATTGGTTAAATCTTTGGGGGGGGGGTTGTGAGGGGTGGTTAATTGCCAATGGTATTTGTAATGCAGCATGAAAGGGGTTGATTAAATAACAATGTAGTGCCCTGCTCCACTATCAATAAATAAACAACTTAAATTATCTATCACATAATCTATTGAATAAGTGTCCATGCATGATCCATGTTTTTTTCCATCCACTATTATGTAGAAATGGAATGCTTCTTAGTTCACCTTGTGTAATGTATTGAAAGCAATATTTTCCACTAGTTGTGCTTTCACCTTATGTTACAATCAAACCGCTAAGTAAGGTCATACATAGAATGTGTCCCTTAATTGGACTGTAGTGAGATGGCAATGCTGTCCACTGGGTCTGGGTCTCCTTTTAATGTCCTAGTAATCCTCCTCCATCAGATAAATGCCAAAAAAGATAACCAAAACATAGTGCTTTATCCTTACAAAACATTTTAAAATATGCAGTATTCCACTCACATGTAAAATGTGAATAAGCGCTTTTTACAAAACAATTCCTCGAGATTGCCGCTATCGATCTTGTTTAGCCTTCCTTCATACACAGCCAGCTGATATCCTTTACTCCTGCTTACCGAGCATTGTGATGACAAAGCCCCTCCCCCCGCGCGTTATGCCACAGGGTCACATGGCTTCATCAGGGAGAATGATTGGGCAGCAGGGTATTCATCCCTTATATATATGATCCACCTCAGTGCCATTTTGCTGTAGTCTGTATGGAGGTGGCCATATTTCTTTAGCCTGCTGTCTATTGGATAAATTCCAATACAAATTATCTACACCAGGAACTATTTTGAGCAAATGTGCAAAGCTATGTTACTGGCACTTTTCAGTTCACTGTATTCTGTGTTGTCTAAACACTGCTAACTTGGACCATGTGTATATTGCTAAGCATGGTAACTACTACAACCCTAAATTATACTCCATACTTTTAAAATAGCATGTATATATATATATATATATATATATATATATATATAATATATATATCCAACAGGTTCTATACAGTGTACCATAATTTTACATATAAATGTGTATACAATATGTACAAAAAATACAAAATAAAATGTATTAAAAGGTAAATAAAACATCACTTGCAGTTTATATATATTATTGTCATGTATTACTAATAAAAAAGGTCAATTCAAACTCTTTATTTAAACCTAGTAGTGCTAAACATTTCATTTCACGAATCCACCTTGATTCTTTTTTGCTGAGTTCCCTAATTTTGTTATCTCCCCTCCAGTGGCTAATATATTTCTCTATTCCCCAAAATTGTAGTTGCCTGGCATCTCTATTATGTGCTATGTAGAAATGCTGTGATAGAAAATGATGTTTATAATCTCTATTTATATTATATACATGTTCCTGCATTGTATCCTTTAAAGCTCTTTTGGTCCTACCTATATAAAATGAGATCACACGGACATTTTAAGGCATATACTACCCTTTTGGTATCACATGATATAAATTGTTGTATTTTATATTCCTTACCCGTAACAGGGCTTGAAAATGCAAATCTCTTTTTTAAATTATTATTAACACTACTACAGCTGTAGCATCTTCCACAAGCATATAAACCTATACCCTTGAAGAAACTGGTTTGGGGTTTGCTATTATTTATTTATTATATTTTATTTCAGGTACTTATATAGTGCTGTCAATTTGCACAGCGCGTTATACATTCACATCAGTCCTTAACCCTTAAGAGGTGTACAATCTAAGGTCCCTAGCTCACATTCATACATACACATACTAGGGTCAATTTAGACAGGATCTAATTCACCTACCAGCATGTCTATGGAGTGTGGGAGGAAACTGGAGTACCCAGAGGAAACCCACGCAGGCACAGGGAGAACATGCAAACTCCAGGCAGGAGGTGCCGTGACTGGGATTCAAACCAAGGACCCTGTACTGCCAGGCGGAAGTGCTAACCATTTAGCCACTTAGGGGGTTCAATGACATTCCTGACAAGTTTATCTCTTAAATTAGGGGCTTTCCAGGGTAATTTCTTTCTTAGCATTTTCAAAAATGGTTTCCTCTTCCCATTTATAAATTTTCAATACTGGAAGCAAACTTTGCTCCCATTGTTACTCCTGCTATTTGCAAGTAATATTCTCCCTTGTACCAAAAATAATTGTGTTTAAGACAGAATGTTAAGCATTTGATAATAAACCTTTGAATAATGGGTCTTCCAGGGGGTCGTTTACTATCTTCATAAATTTTTGGGACATGTATATACCCGGTAATTTATATGTAGATGGAATCAAATATATTTTTTTTTTTATTTAATGTAGCCTTCCTACTACCATATTTCACTATTTTTTCCTGTTCTTTCTTGTATAGTTTGGTAGGGTTTTCTTTCAAAATAGCATACGTGTTAATATCACTCAACATTTTACTCTTTTTCAGTTCATAGTATTCTTTTGAGAATATAACTATCCCTCCTCCTTTATCCGTGGGTCGGATGGCTATATTCTTCCTTTTTCTTAATGGCTCTATATCCCTTTTGACTTCTAAAGTGTCTCTATACTTTTTTGATGAGTAAACTATCTAAATCCTCAATAACTTTCTTGAGCGTATCTATATATCTATTATCTGTAGCCACTGGATTGAACGTAGACCTGTTTTTGTTTATGATACTCTCCCATTCTACCATCATTATGAATGGGGGTATGAGTGGGATTTTGAGCATAATATTTTTTGATATTTGAGATTCCTTACTAATTTCTGGACGTTAACATAAGTTTCAAACTTATTAAGGCCTTTGGTTGGAGCAAACTTTAAACCCTTACCCAGATCCTGTATTTCTTACTTGGTGAGTAATATTCCACTAAGGTTATAGTTACCTTCACCTCTTATTCCCTCTTTTTTTTTTGTTGTGTTCTTCTTCCTCCCCTGCAAACTCTCTTTCTGGTCTCTCTCTGTGTTCCCCCCTTTCTTGAGATTGGTTCCATACTAAAAAAGGGAGTTGGAGTGCGGAATTCCGATTCTTCATGTGCTAAAGGTAAATACCAATTATCTGTTGGAATTTGATATGGTCTATAAGACGATTTTTGATAACTGGGTCTCTGCGGTTTTGGTTTTTGATGTCCATACCCTTGGTGATTATTAATATTGGGTACCCTTATACCCATACATCACTGTCTGTTTCAAGGTTTTGAGGTCCGTGCGCATGCCCCCACCCACCTTCTTCCCTGTGATCACACACAGCAGGAGCCTGTCAGCAGATCCCGGCCAATGATTCATGGCCAGGACTTGCTGATGCTGATCGGCTGTGTACAATCACCACAGGGCTCTGTACAAAGGGAACCACTACTTTGTTTCTTTTGCCTGCAAAGCAGGGAAAAGAGACAAATCAGTCTGTGGTAAAAGTCAGCACACATTACATATTGTTAGGCACACAGTTAACCCCTTGGCTGTCCCTAGATGT